GTCGGAGCATTTGCCACGAAAAAGCGAGGAAGCAGTGTTTCTATTAATAATTGAATGCAATCGTAACTTTTTACATGGAATGGCCTCTCGTGAATATTTTTACTCCGTAGTTCTGCAAAAATAAAAAAAGGCATTCCCTTTTAGAGTGTGTTTACTGCCAAGACTGTTTTCAATCAAACGGGGAAACCAATCTCATGCGCACAGACACCACACAGACAACAAAGACAAAGATCCCCCGGGTAGCCTTAACAGACTGTTGGGGCAAGTGCTGTTAGCTAGCTGGCACGGTACACGAAGGGGTCGGTGAACAGCACCACGAACGGCCGCCTTTGTCTCTCGAGTGGCGATGTTTACACACCACACCAGGTATTCATTTGGGGCTGAGTCGACCTAGGGGAGGCCCAGGTCCGATTTAGGTAATCGTTACTGGTGTTGTCCATTAGCGCAAATCTAGCTCGGTTCGCTGGGTTCGTAGAGCAGCGCGCTAACCGCTGCACTACCCCACAGACAAACACAGCCACGCATGCAAACAGGAACACACAGACACACGCGTGTGCACACGCGGGCACACACACGCACACTAGGCCCTTTGATTCTCCCGGCATCGTGAGTCGCTTTCTAAATATGTCGGTTTGTCTAGTGAACTGTGCGGTGCCCCTGTCTTTTAAGGCTCTAACAACAATAATTAGCCTGCGTTTAAACAAAATAATCTGAGCTGCTGGAGAGGGAAGCAAATATGCCATCGACTCTATTTTTTTTCGCGAATTAAAACAACACAGCATCTCGAATTTACCACGCACCCCTATTTTTTTTATTGCAGATTTGGCAAGTTTGATCGACGTCAACAGATCGATGTCTTTGGGAACTTAGTGCGACTGGTGCGCGCGTTTTATTGAAACAATGCAGACAGAATGTATTTAACCTGAGCTCCGACGCTTGCGTCTCTGGTATCCGAATCCGAGCCAGCGAGGAGGGGGGAGGAACGGGGCGGGGGGCGGGGGCATCTCCCTAGCAGCGCTTCTCTCCCCGCAATGTTGTGGAGAGGGAGAGAGCGAGAGAGCGAGAGAGGGAGAGCGAAATGGAGTAGGAAGAGAGGGGGCAGAGAGAGAGGAGGGGCAAAGAGGAGGGTAGAGAGAGAGTGAAGGGGTAAGGAGAGTAGAAAAAAAAAGAAAAAAATATTTTGTTGGGTTTTTCATTTAAAAGGGGGGGGAGGGGTTACATAAAGCAAAGCATAAAAAACAAAACAATTATGAACGGAGCAAAGTGCCGACTACACCGAGCATCTTCTTAATTCCTCTGATCGTAAAATAAAGAAGAAAAGAGAGACAGTAATGAGAGGGGGGAGAGAGAGACGGGGTAGAGAGAGGGGGTATAGAGAGAGGAGGTAGAGAGATAGGAAAGGGGTAAGGCGGAGGAGCAGAGCGTGCTTCTTCATATTGATGTTTGTGTCTACAAAAAAGTAGCACAGAATGCGTAAAATATTTTATTTTAAAAGGGGAGGGGGGGCACATAAAGCAAAGAAAGGAAAAAAACTAAATGATGAACGAAGCAAAGTTCCGACTAAACCGATCATCTTCTTGATTCCTCTAATCGTGAAAAAGACAGCGAGATAGAGAGAAAGCGAGCGAGAGAGAGCGAGAGTGAGCGATTGAGAGCAAGTGAGAGCGAGCGAGTGAGCGAGAGAGAGAGAGAGGGAGCGAGATAGAGAGAAAGCGAACGAGCGAGAGAGCGAGAGTGAGCGATTGAGAGCAAGTGAGAGCGAGCGAGTGAGCGAGAGAGAGAGGGAGCGAGATAGAGAGAAAGCGAGCGAGAGAGAGAGAGCGAGAGTGAGCGATTGAGAGCAAGTGAGAGCGAGCGAGTGAGCGAGAGAGAGATAGAGGGAGCGAGATAGAGAGAAAGCGAACGAGCGAGAGAGCGAGAGTGAGCGATTGAGAGCAAGTGAGAGCGAGCGAGTGAGCGAGAGAGGGAGCGCGAGAGAGAGCGAGGGAGCGAGCGATTGAGAGCGAGTGAGTGAGCGAGAGAGAGCGAGCGAGTGAGCGAGAGAGAGCGAGCGAGTGAGCGAGAGAGAGCGAGCGAGTGAGAGAGAGAGAGAGCGAGAGAGAGGGGGCAGAGAGAGAGGGGGGGGCGGAGAGGGGGTAGAGAGAGGAGAGGCAGAGAGGGGGATAGAGAGAGAGGGGGGGCAGAGAGGGGGGTAGAGAGAGAGGGAAGGGGAAAGACAAAAGAAAACCATTTTTGGGTCTTTCATTTAAAAGGGGGGGGGGGGGGGGGTTACATAAAGCAAAGCATTAAAAAACAAAAAAAACGAAATGATGAACGGAGCAAAGTGCCGAATACACCGAGCATCTTCTTGTTTCTTCTGATCGTAAAAAAAGAGAGAGAGGGAGCGAGCGATTGAGAGCAAGTGAGAGCGAGCGAGGGAGCGAGAGAGTGAGCGCTCGATGTCCCCTTAGCTCCTGGGCGAGATTCGTGCGAGCTCGCTAGGGGAATGCGTGCGGGGCGCACACAAAAGAGCCGCTGCATTCAGGGATGCCGTGTCAGCGTTCTTCCGCAGACGTATCAATGCGATGAAACAAAAGTGATGTTCAGAAAGACAAATGGCTCGCGGTGAATGGACCTTCCATGTGAAGCGCACCAATAAAAGCGGCGTCCTTTTAAAGCGCCGGCTACGGGTTTGGCTCGGGTTTATCTGGGACCGCGTCCCAGACAATTGTTTTGAATTGAAGAGGACTTTTAATTGCCTCGTAAATTCCCCAACAATCACGCCACGCAGACCCCGCAGGGTCAGAACCACTCGGTTAAAGAAGTCCCACCCCCCCCCCCCCCTTCATTAACATCGTTAACACGGCGACATAAGCCGGTAACGCCATCAAAAGGAACGATGTCAGTGCAAATAAACGCCATCAATGCGGCTATAGTTAATACAGTTTTCCCGGCTTAGGGCACCAGACAAACAAACGTTCTCACTTCATGTTGGACGTTAAATTGAGCGGAGAATCCGACGGACGCTTCGGGCGGCGCGTTATGGAGGAGACGCTCCGCGTTGTACCCCCCCCCCCCCCCCCCCGGCAGATGCGTGCAGTAGCAGCATGAGCAGCAGGGTGGCCTCGCCACCGCTGTTCAATGATCTGCAGACACGGCGCATCATCATTCGGCCATTGCCCCTGCGTTTGTGTCGGCGCGTTTCCCAGGCTGCTCTCGGGATAAGCGCGGCCGCGAGCCATTGTTTAGGATGACTGCGCGTGTCAGATAATCACCCTCGGGGGGGGGGGCAGCGTCGACTTGGGGGGCACGCGCATCGCGTTCTCGCTATCCCGTCCGTGTCCCAGGCTGCGCTGATGCTCCGCTGGCGCAGTGGCTCGCAAATCGGCACCACATCCAGTTGGTGAAATTTCAGCGTCGGCGTCTCCTGCGGTGTTGTGCCCCGCCGGTGATGGAATTCGTTGCAGTTGTCGCGGTTGTGATTATGATGATGATCATGCTAATAATAAATATAATATCACAGCGGGAATCCTCAGTCGTTCTTCCCGAATCATCGCAGCGACAATGGAGATGCCAAAAGAGACGTCGTGGTGTGTGTTTCCGCAGCGCGATTAGGGGAGTGACGGCTTCTCATGCGTGGCTGCCAAGATCAGTGCGCTTCATCCCACCAACTGAAACAAATAGAAAGTAGCTATGCCTTTTCTCACTGTGCCTCGTAGCTTCATGAAAATCACAATTCAAAAAAGCAAATAACAACCATTAAGACCCTGATTTCAATTACAATCCCTCGGGAAACCGAATGCTTGGAAGCACAGTGGCCAAAAAAGGCAAGGATTTTACGAGTCTCACCGGACGAATAACATTTAACGGATGAGAGGATCTGCACAATTACAAGCTGGTGAACTGTGACCGGTAAATTATAGCGTGGTACCCAGGTGATTATAAGGGGCAGACAGCCAAAATATTGCACGCTCTTTAATCAAAGGTCTCTTCAGTAGCGTTCGTGATTAAATGTTTAGATATCAGCGCTGCTCTTAGGGTTTTCGGCTTCAGCCAAAAAGGTTTCCGAAAAATGTGTCCGTAAAAGCTTAAATTTATTCTGCACGTGACAGTCGAGGCGTGACCTGCGGATTAACTACGATCACATCTCGCTGTCTGTTTTGTAAACATCACTGCCTGACTTTCCGTGTGGGTTTATGTATACATAGTGGCGTGCATTAATGTTATCTCTGCTCAGTATAAGTAGATCTGTGCATTAAATATAAGTACCAGCAAAGGCAAAGCATTATGGACAGCAGATAATTATCATATTATAACGACAAGGGGGTATGTGTCGCAGTGTTTGCAAGTCGTTCACGTGCACACTGCGCTACGATGCCAGCGACCTGAGATAGATTCAGTGCGACGGCTATGACATCAGTGGGCGAGTGATATCTCAACCGGTTGTGGGTGCTGTGGCCCCACTTTTTCACCAACCCGAACTGAACAACATCTGGCGGTGGCGAGATGTTGACCACCTCGCTAGGTACACAGGAGGTCGTGGGTTCGAGCCAGACCCTGACGCCTGCTGCTGTATATTTGGAGTTTGCATGTCTCTCTCTCTCACTCTCTCTCCCAGTGGCCGCGTGGATTTTTCTCTGGGCCCTTCGGTTGTTCCATATACATTTAGAATCAACACGCGTTTGGAGTATTTGGTTGCTATACACTTCCACGTGAAAAGCCACTTCGTTGAGCTATCATGTGTGCCCAGGTCGCTTCTAACAAAGGGCTATATAACTCAGTGGACCTTACCTGGTAAAACAAATACGTAATTTTAGTTTAGTATGGTTAAATAATACACTACTGGGAGGTACCTTCGTCTAGCAGTGGATTCGGACGAATGACAAACTCTCGGCTGCACCTCCACAACAACACCGCACCTCGGCGCATTCACCCGCGAACGGCTCGCCCGGGGCCTCTGCCCCCACCGAAGCTCTTCCCCAATCCCTCCTCTCCGACCCCCCCCCCCCCGCCCCCCCTAGAGCTGGAGCCCCTCGATTTGCTGGCCGAGTCGCTGGCGACGCCGGTGGCAGGCGACCTCCCCCGCGGCGTCACCGTCGTGCAGGAGGGCGGCGTGCGCGGCGCGAGGCTCTCGCCGCGGCGGGCGCCCCACGTGGCCTGGCCGGGCGCCCCCCGGCAGCCCCGCGGTGGACGCCACCTCTCGTTCCCGGCGGCGCGCCTCTTCACGCACTGCCACCGCTTCCCCGAGGAGTTCTCCGTCGTCGTCACGCTGGCGGCGGACACTCGCAAGGTCAAGCACGGTCAGGGGGCTCTCTGGATTCACGGCCGCCCCACGGGGGGGGGGAGTGGGGAGGGCTTTTAAGGGGTCGCAGCCCAGAGTCTCTGATTTTGAGCTCCTCCACACCCGCACTCCCCCCCCCCCCCAATTCTCATCCAAAGATACAGAAATGTATGTGTATATAATAATATAATAATGTCAACTTGTAACGCCACCACATAGTATTCGCTCATTCTCGAAGAGGGAGAGAGAGAGAGAGAAAGCAACTTAGAGGCGTGAGGAGCCACGGACAAGCAGAAAGGCAGTCAGCCACGCGGTGATCCGGCACCAATGATTGCCTAAGCTCTGCGCTCCTCGACATGTGAAGGTGTATTCGGGGAAATTTTAATGAGTGGTTCTCTCTGGAGCTCCCAGAGAGTAGAAAAAAAAGACCTTGCGTGCAAGGAGGGAAACATTCCAATGTGCGGAGTCCACGATATTGCCGCACTGCCCCCTGACAAGCCACGGGTATATGGCACCTCCTCGTTTAGCAACATTTGTGCGATCCGCTAACCCCCCGCAGTGCTGGCGTACAGGCGTGTCACCAAAGCCCGGATATTTCAATGGGCGCTGCTGTGTCGTGGGTGACACGCGATCATGCCGCGCTGTTTCAACTCATGAGACTACGCGCAGCATCGGGGGGTTTGCCTCTCTCGAGTTTTCGCCACGCACCACTGCGGCGCGATTATCAGCGTTGGCTACGTACGGTGCGAAAGAAGTTCAACATACACACGATGGCAGATGCCCCTCCACCCCCCCCCCCACCGCCCAGCGTGCCGTTTGGCTATGAATGCCATAGGTGGCATCACCGTGCGTTTAACTAATAGCAACTCCTACCGGTTACGCCACAACAATTTAACGTTAAGTGTTGTTTCTATTAACTTCGATTAATTATTTTTTTAAATCAAGATAAGTAACTGCATGTGGTTAGGCTTTGGACAGGAGGTGGTGCGGGCACAACAGTCAGGGGAGGGAATTTAATGTACGGCAATACCCCGGTGTACGTCGGGGATGCGTTCCTGTAAAGGTGCCACGACGAATATCGAAACGAGGTGAGACCAAAAGCGTCTTTACAGGGTTGGTAGCGGTGGGTGGTGGAGGAGGAGGCGAAGGCTGAGAGGCGACGGATAACGAGGAAGGAACGGACGGCGTTGACGCTGACAGCGACGTGAGCGTGGAGGTTGAGGCGACGCAAATCACGTGGCGGTGTTAATCATGAAGTGACGACGTATTTGCGAAATCGGGTTGTTACTGTAGAAAGAGCCCCCCTCCCCCAACCCTCCCGCCCCACTACCCCAACAATAACACAACAGCCCAGGGCCCCCCCTCAAACGCAATCCCCCCCGCCCACCCCCTGCACACGGGGCCCTGTGGGAGTCGGGTCTCACTTGAGTTTCCTCCTCCCTCCGTTCTTCCAAAGATTCCTCCTGCTCCTCCTTTAACAATCCCTCCATGTTATTGTTCTACTTGGGTTAGATCGCGTAAGATTTACACGATCTAACCCGACGCACCCCCCCCCCCCCCAACGAATCCATTTATTTGGGGGAACGAATGGACATTTCTGAGATGGCTGTCCAAAGGCAAAGATCCCCCGTGTAGCCTTAAACAGACTGTAGGGACAAGTGCTGTCAGCAAGTAGCACCTATTAAAGCCGGCACGGCACACGAGGGGGTGGGTGGCCAACACCACGCCCGGCTGCCTTTGTATCCCCAGCGGCGACGTTTACACATCGCACCGGGTACTCATTTGAGGCTGAGTCGACCTAGGGGAGGCCCAGGACCGGTTCAGATAATCGTCACAGGGTTGTTGACCGTGAGCGGGACTCGAACTCGGGTCGCCGGGTTCGTAGCGCAGCGCTGACCGCTGCACCACCGAGAATCAACTTTCTTGAGCCGCTGCCTCGGATCGACTGCTCAGAATCCATGCAATTTTTTTGGCCTGAGGCTGGCGATCCGCGAATGACCATATATGGGCAAAGACACCGCCCCCTTTCGGACAACGCCACGCCCACTCTATTCCATATATGGGGGGGGGCGCACGCGTCTGATGGGTGCTGTGGTCGTGTGTACGAACTAATCGCGTGACTTGGAGCGCGATGAGCGGCGCGTCTCATGTCGCGCACAATAAGCAAGTGTGCTTCACTGCCCCTGGTGGGCCTTTTAGTGCAGCCCTCGGCAGTACACAGCGAGTGAAAACACCCCCCCCTCCCCCCCATCATCATCATGCTGCTGTCACCCCCCCCCCCCCCCATCATCATCATCGTGCTGCTGTCACCCCCCCCCCCCCATGGATCAACACGTGTGGCGGCCCTCACACACACTCATGTGATTGACGTCTTATCGGCGAAAGTGTTGCCCCACCCCGCCCCCCTCTGGAGATTAGTGAACAACACCGCGCGTTAACAATCACAACATTAACAATGACCAACATCAGTGGAGAAGTCTGGGAATTAACAATCACAACATTAACAATGACCAACATCAGTGAAGAAGTCTGGGAATTAACAATCACAACATTAACAATGACCAACATCAGTGAAGAAGTCTGGGAATTAACAATCACAACATTAACAATGACCAACATCAGTGGAGAAGTCTGGGAATTAACAATCACAACATTAACAATGACCAACATCAGTGAAGAAGTCTGGGAATTAACAATCACAACATTAACAATGACCAACATCAGTGAAAAAGTCTGGGAATTAACAATCACAACATTAACAATGACCAACATCAGTGGAGAAGTCTGGGAATTAACAATCACAACATTAACAATGACCAACATCAGTGAAGAAGTCTGGGAATTAACAATCACAACATTAACAATGACCAACATCAGTGGAGAAGTCTGGGAATTAACAATCACAACATTAACAATGACCAACATCAGTGAAGAAGTCTGGGAATTAACAATCACAACATTAACAATGACCAACATCAGTGGAGAAGTCTGGGAATTAACAATCACAACATTAACAATGACCAACATCAGTGAAGAAGTCTGGGAATTAAGAATCACAACATTAACAATGACCAACATCAGTGGAGAAGTCTGGGAATTAACAATCACAACATTAACAATGACCAACATCATTGAAGAAGTCTGGGAATTAACAATCACAACATTAACAATGACCAACATCAGTGGAGAAGTCTGGGAATTAACAATCACAACATTAACAATGACCAACATCAGTGAAGAAGTCTGGGAATTAACAATCACAACATTAACAATGACCAACATCAGTGAAGAAGTCTGGGAATTAACAATCACAACATTAACAATGACCAACATCAGTGAAGAAGTTTGGGAATTAACAATCACAACATTAACAATGACCAACATCAGTGAAGAAGTCTGGGAATTAACAATCACAACATTAACAATGACCAACATCAGTGAAGAAGTCTGGGAATTAACAATCACAACATTAACAATGACCAACATCAGTGGAGAAGTCTGGGAATTAACAATCACAACATTAATAATTCACTCAAATTTTCAAGAACACCGGCTAGTTATCAATCACAACATTAACTAAATTAGTCAAGAACAGTGGGAGTTAACAATCACAAAACTAACAAAATTAGTGAACATTGGGCGTTAACAATCACAAAATTAACTATTAACAAAATTAGTGAACATTGGGCGTTAACAATCACAAAATTAACTATTAACAAAATTAGTGAACATTGGGCGTTAACAATCACAAAATTAACTATTAACAAAATTAGTGAACATTGGGCGTTAACAATCACAAAATTAACTATTAACAAAATTAGTGAACATTGGGTGTTAACAATCACAAAATTAACTATTAACAAAATTAGTGAACATTGGGCGTTAACAATCACAAAATTAACTATTAACAAAATTAGTGAACATTGGGCGTTAACAATCACCAAATTAACTATTAACAAAATTAGTGAACATTGGGCGTTAACAATCACAAAATTAACTATTAACAAAATTAGTGAACATTGGGCGTTAACAATCACAAAATTAACTATTAACAAAATTAGTGAACATTGGGCGTTAACAATCACAAAATTAACTATTAACAACATTAGTGAACATTGGGCGTTAACAATCACAAAATTAACTATTAACAAAATTAGTGAACAACATTGGGCGTTAACAATCACAAAATTAACTATTAACAAAATTAGTGAACATTGGGCGTTAACAATCACAAAATTAACTATTAACAAAATTAGTGAACATTGGGCGTTAACAATCACAAAATTAACTATTAACAAAATTAGTGAACAACATTTGGAGTTAACAATCACAAAATTAACTATTAACAAAATTAGTGAACATTGGGCGTTAACAATCACAAAATTAACTATTAACAAAATTAGTGAACATTGGGCGTTAACAATCACAAAATTAACTAATAACAAAATTAGTGAACATTGGGCGTTAACAATCACAAAATTAACTATTAACAACATTAGTGAACATTGGGCGTTAACAATCACAAAATTAACTATTAACAAAATTAGTGAACAACATTTGGAGTTAACAATCACACAATTAACTATTAACAAAATTAGTGAACAATTGGCGTTAACAATCACAAAATTAACTATTAACAAAATTAGTGAACATTGGGCGTTAACAATCACAAACTTAACTATTAACAAAATTAGTGAACATTAGGCGTTAACAATCACAAAATTAACTATTAACAACATTAGTGAACATTGGGCGTTAACAATCACAAAATTAACTATTAACAAAATTAGTGAACAATATTTGGAGTTAACAATCACAAAATTAACTATTAACAAAATTAGTGAACATTGGGCGTTAACAATCACAAAATTAACTATTAACAAAATTAGTGAACATTGGGCGTTAACAATCACAAAATTAACTATTAACAAAATTAGTGAACATTGGGCGTTAACAATCACAAAATTAACTATTAACAAAATTAATGAACATTGGGCGTTAACAATCAC